CTGGTGGAGGAAGACATATAAATTGATATGAATGTACAGGTACACGTTAAAACTGCATTCATACGTCAGAATGCAAAAAAAGAAAAGAAAAAAGACGTTAATAAATGATAAACAACATATTATGAATGTTGAACATATACAAAAAAAAAAAAAATAAAAAAAAACAAATAAACAAAGCATGGTGTCAAGGGTGATATTAATACACACGTTATAACTTGCAAAATACTGGCTCTCTACCAAACTAGCAAATCCACGCAGTTGTTTCCACTGGGATTGCAGGGTAAGAACAGTCAACATTCACTCATCTGTGAGAGAGACGACAGAACCTTTGAGGAAAGCAGCATAAAGGCAGCATAAAGGCAGTATAAAAGCCCGACCCATTGTACATATTTTTTCAGAAACAAAGAATTCGGAGCACGCCTCTGTGAGTATTCCACAATTCAGCAGGTTATTTTGTTATTGCAAAAACCGTGTTATTTCCTGTCGTTTTGCAAAAACTGTTACTTAGATAACAGTTTACATAAATTTTCCTGGTAGTCGGGACTTTGTCTGCAGAAAATGCAGCTGCAAATAAAGCAAAAATATGATTTGCCATGACAGATAGCAACCTACAATTAAGATAAAAAACAACTATGTCAGGATATTCTTATAGCAAGGAAAATACTGTTATGATGCATGGTAGTAAAAATGTAATTATTCTCGAACATTTTATACAATGCTATCAACGGACATGGGTTAATATAAATCAAACTGGATAAAAATCGCATCACAAACAAAACAAAAATAAAACTTTCACGATTTAAGAAATATTCGTTCTGAGATCAAAATGGAAATTTCTAAGCATTAAATCACAATGTACTTTGATCAGATATAATCATTAATCAAGTCTACAAACAGGGCAGGTAGTGCAAAACAAACAAACAATGTATATATGAAAACATGAAATCTGGCTCTCCTGTGTAAATATACACAACACTCTCCTCCAATTCCAAGTTATTCCACACCCTAATTCTTCTCCTTCTCCCATCTCCCTTTTCTTTATCTCTGTTCACATTCCTCACACTTTCCCACACCTTCATCTTCTTTTTCAGACACCCTTGATTACACCCCCCCCCTCCTCCTATCATCTCGGCTACACCCCCCCCCCCTTCCCTATTATCTCAGCCACACCTCCCTCCTATTATCTGGGCCACAACCCCCCTCTCCTATTATCATCAGCAAATTGGCGACGCCGCTCCAGCAATTGCAACCTCTCGACGACCAGGGACGCGACCACACAGAGACGGCATACCCGACCTCGAGCTCACTGATCAACCGGCTTATCCCTTCTCGCTCTGGAAAATTGCTGGAATGAAAGCCGTCGCACACTGAGCGCGGGCCTTCATTTCCTGTCGTTCGGAATGGACTCGCACTGAGGCGCTTCGGATTGGGAGTATTAATTCTTAGTGTGTATATATATGTGTGTGTGTGTGTGTATACATATATATATAGACATATATAACACATACATAAATATGCATACACGTATATATATACACACAAAAATATATCACATATATGTAACTTGTCCACTAAATTATTCCCTCTTTACCAAGATGCACTCAGGTCGTTAGGCGGGCGAACTGTCAGCTGTTTTTCCTCCCTGCCTCGGCTTTACGACCAAGACAAGGACGCTCATTTCCCGGAGGCGAAGGGGTCGCGGCAGCCAAGGCCCAAGCCGCTATTTATTATTGAAGCTTTGCGCATTAAATGATTCGGGCGTATTAGCATCGCCAGAGAAACTTTATTCACAAAATGGGACGTTGATAAGAGGCATTTCACCATGATGATCGCGAACCTCAACCTCACATGTGAATAAAATGAGCTTATACTGATACCAATATCCATAGAATACTTCATACCCTAACTGGAGAAATAGGGCAACATAATCAGGTACACAGTTCTTGACAAGGTAAAAAAAATAAAGAAGACTGCACTTAAAATATCACTTCTGTTAGCGAGATGTGAAATGTTATGATTTGACTGGCATTATATATATATATATGTGTGTGTGTGTGTGTGTGTGTGTGTGTGTGTGTGTGTGTGTGTGTGTGTGTGTGTGTGTGTGTGTGTGTGTGTGTGGGGCCAAGCATTCCAGTCTCTGAAGAATAAGTGCAAGGCATAACCCTCTTAACAGCCTGACAACAGTGCTTACTATAACAGCGAGCACAGGCAGTGGTGCTCATGATCTGCCATGCACAATGGTATCGTGGTTTTACTCTTTGGAAAATGACTCATGCACCTTGACATTATGATGCAGATAATACGAGTGGCTCATAGCCTGTGGTATCTGAGTACCTTTCGGTGGAACTGCAAGATACAGGGCTGTTCTGCAGTTTCTGCATTGTATCTTAATAGCTAATGGTTTGGCTGAATGACCAATACAAACAGTGGATGATCCAAGATATAGAAATCCAATATATAAAATTGAAAGACATTTATAAAGGTTGAATAATGGCCTTTAGTCTTTATGCAGAAACCAGTAAAACCATGATCAACAATCGAGCACAAAATGAGCAATTCCAGGTACTGGATAAAGTACGATTAAGTGAGAGAGCTTGCGCACACAAACACGTCTTAAAAACGAAAACAAAGTGGTGAGATTGGACACCCGCCAGCTGACATAAAATCAATTAAAGATAAAATCAATAGGAAGAGGAATACGTGGATTAGAGCAGAGATCAGCGAGAAAATATACTTATCTACAATAACCTATCTTAATTTCGATTACATATTTTTCCTGACGTTGCCACATTTAGATACTAATAACTTACCCTTTCATCGACATGCTTTGACACATTAGACATTTGGATGCACTATGACTCCTTGCTGTTATAGCAGTTTCTCCGTGACTGCTGTGGTGTGTGGACAATTGCTGGAGATAGCTTCAAGAATAACCGCATGTTACAGATAGGCTTACTACACTCGTAAATATGTTATTCTAGCTTAATATCAATAATACCGAGAGTGCTATAGTATATTTCTTTCAGATTTTGAATAAATGTGACATTCCATTAAACTCTGCAGTGCTATATTGATGCGTTCGGAAAATCACGAAAAATGTAGGCCTACATAAAAATATCAAAACTATTTTTTTTTATAGCCGCCGAAACTTGTGGATCAGTGAAATTTTGGACATTGTGAGTGAAGACTATCTACCTATCAATATATACTTCACAAATCAAAATTTGGCGGGGTCTTGTAAGAAAAAAAAAAAAAAAAAAGACGAATGAATGAGTTAAAAAGAGGGCATAATATTGGACAGGTCACTTATGGGGCAGATGGACACGCTGGGCGAACGAAGAAGGAAACAAATTGAAACATAACAAAAGAAGGACACGAGAAAAAGAACATGATGGAAGAGGGAAATTCTGGAATACCTAGCAGACTAGGAGAGGCATGTCTTGCACGGGATGAAAGGAGGCTGTTGATCACACACACACACACGCACACACACACACACACACACACACACACACACACACACACACACACACACACACACACACACACACACACACACACGCACACACACACTGCTGTTATCATAATCATTATAAGACTTATTTTCCATATGGAAAATATATAACACACACACACACACACACACACACACACACACACACACACACACGCACACACACACTGCTGTTATCATAATCATTATAAGACTTATTTTCCATATGGAAAATAAGTCTTATAATAATTATGATAACAGCAGTGTGTGTGTGTGTGTGTGTGTGTGTGTGTGTGCGTGTGTGTGTGTGTGTGTGTGTGTATATGTATATATATATATATAAATATATATATATATATATATATATATATATATATATATATATATATATATATATACATGTATATATGCATATATATATATGCATATATATACATTTTTTATATGTATTTATATGCAGCTGTATATACATACATACATACATATATATATATATATATATATATATATATATATATATATATATATATATATATATATATACATTTATACATATTTATATATATACACGTGTATATATACATATATATATATATATATATATATATATATATATATATATATATATATATATATACATATATATATGTATATGTATGTATGTATATATATATATATATATATATATATATATATATATATATATATATATATATGTATATATATATATATATATATATATATATATATATATATATATATATATATATATATATACACATATACACACACACACACACATATATATATCGTGTATTGTTACAACCGATTACACGAGAATAACACCAAGCGCCGCAATACATCGTATATAGCTTCAATAGACAACAAGGGTTTATCTTCGGCCGACGTCATCTATCTATCGGCAACAGCTTTAAAGGATTACCATACAGCACATAAAATTTCTATTGCCGTGTGCACACATTTACGTTTCATGTAAGGTGAGATAAAAGTCATTGGACTTTATGGCGGTCGAATGAATATGAAAAAAATAAATGTGGCAAATGTTATGCTGTAAAACACCCGTGCAATATCCATGGAATTATAAATGTTATTGGCTATGTTTAACTACATTCCTGTTGTCCATGAAGAGAGTAAACTAGAATACCATTTTTTTTTTTTTTTACGTTTTATTGACTTTGTTTATCAAACTTTGCACTTAGTTCAAGCTGACTTTACTCTCAGACATCACTGTGCTTGTTTAAATACATAATAAATCTATTGGTCTATCCCTCTACTTATATATTCATACAAACATACATAGATAAGTGCATACATACTTACTTACCTATGTATATCTGTATCTATCTAACTATATGTATATATATACATACATGTGTAAATGTATATATAAGCATACACACATACACACACACACACGCACGCACACATACATACATAAATATAAAAAAATATATATACATATACATGTATATATATATTATAT